ATGTCACACCTGAGGAAACTCCTGGACTTGCTTTTGTTAAGTACAAGTCACCTAGCCAATACGTTGTGTGTATGTGTGTGTGTCTAAATGTGTTAGTAAGATTAAAATTCCAAATGGTTGTCACACGAAAAATTAGACAGGAACTCAAAAAATAGCAGATGTACAAACAGCGTTACAATAGTAATAATGAATAAATACGCTTAAAGATCTTTCCATGTCTCATCACACCACAGTGTACAATAAAAGTGGACCTTGACGGGAATAGACCGACACATCTGGAACATTTTTACTCCTCAGAATCACCACATACAGGTACTCAAGATATGCCGACTTCTTTGAAGTTTCACTCGATGTGGCTAGTCTTGTTTTACTGCGTGTCTGTGGGGGGGCGGGGTTGCTAGCCTAATACAGTCAGACTTCCCTCATTTTTCGTTGTCAGGAGGCGGGGGGGGGGAGTGGACTTGCTGTTTGGCTAGTAAACGAGGCCAGGCTTACGAGTGCGTTGGACGATAATCAGACCTGGATGATGCTTGTGGCTGCTTATGCAGTAGGATATTAACTGTACTTATCCTAAGTAGTGTCATTATAATGACTATTGCACGCTATGGGAATTCAAAATTCACTAATATCTTAAAGGCCAGAAAGAATTTTCAACAAAAGAAACTCTGACTGCGAACAAACCCAACAAGAGGCGATTACTGACACAAATATGTGGGAGAAAATGGAGACGGAGGAATCAGACATACATTGAGGAAACCGTCAAACGACATCGCGAGCAATACAGGCCATGACTCACAGTGAAATCCCAATGGAAAGCGATGAGTAGGTCGTCAACGTGAGGGTGACATGGAGGAGATCGTGTGGAAGAGATGAGAGAGTTTGGGCAATCGCTGACACAGCTGAAGAGGAGAGCAGAAAATAGAACAAAGTGGAGATGTGTTGTTGAAGCCAGTCCTATGTTCCACTCAGAACCCGAGGGAACAGTAATAATAATAACAACAATAGTATCATTGTTGACAGGAGAACGGGAACAGTACACAGAACACGTCTAACCTATAATCTACTAATGCAGATAGCTATTACTGAATGCAAAAACCTAATGACACTGTCACAGGAATCACACCAACTGATATGAGACTACACTTTCTAAGCCTTTTATCTATTCAAATAAAAAACTCTCCATCTGACAATCATTCCAGTCACACACACACACACAGACAGACACCCACACACACGTACACATCACTTCCATCAGGATATTCACTATGATAGTACATCCCACCCACTCCACCCCACCCCGCCGTGTCTACACAATAATTGTAATGTTCATTAGTCAATGATAATTTCAGTTGCCTAACTGACTTCTTCACACTTTTTACAATGTCTTATCATTTCCATAACCTCAGTAACAGAATATCTCATAGTTGTATATATAGAATAATATACGATCAATATATAATATATATACATATATTTCCTGTTACTATGTAGCAAAAATCGATTAAAGCAGAGTGTGTGTGTGTGTGGGGTGGGGAGAAGGAGACAGATTGTGAGAGAAGAGGAGAAATACCGGCATTGTGGAAGAATTTAATGATAGACTACATTTTTCGGATTCATTTATGATGACCATAATTTCACTTCTATAATAATAACTATTATTATTATTATTACTATTATTATTATTATCCTGTTATCTATTTTGTATTTGATTCGTGGCGTAGGATACTCACAGTGACATGGAGACTATGGACAAGAAGGAGGAGGCATGGAGGAATTCAGTTATGTATATACAGTAATGACGTCATCAATGAGTTGACTCATCTCATAAGTTTTGAAAGTACCCATCAATTTTTGTTATTGACCTGTAGTTTGACAATCTTCTTTCTTTCCTTCTCGTATTATAACAAAAATAACTGCACACCCCTAACACAGAAGTCGTTATCTTCTATAGACGGAGGGAGTTACTAAGCAAAGTGAAAGGCAGAATTCTCAGTTGAAATATACCCGTTTAAACAATCTTCTGATGATGACGATGATGATGAGGAGAAGGAGAGATCATTTAAATAGTTGGAGGCAATCGGCCACAGGAAGCCTCGTCTGACCTCGGTTTCGTGCTAGTTGGGACTCATCAGTCAGTCAGTCAGTCAGTCAGTCAGTCAGTCAGTCAGTCAGTCAGTCAGTCAGTCAGTCAGTCAGTCAGTCAGTCAGTCAGTCAGTCAGTCAGTCAGTCAGTCAGTCAGTCAGTCAGTCAGTCAGTCAGTCAGTCAGTCAGTCAGTCAGTCAGTCAGTCAGCAAGGCGTATCTCCAACCGCCTTGGAGGAACTCAAGTGACCTCTGAGATTGAAACCCGCGTCAGCCAGTGCTGCCTGCAGTCAGAGACGTTACCACTGAGTAGTTATTCGGGCTGATTCGCGATTGACCTCCTGTAGGACTGTATTGGATTTTATGTTGGTTGGACACTGGTCAGTAACCAACTAGTGTAATGTGTCTAGTCCTTGGTGTTTGGTGCAGACTGAATTCTATCAATCTATCATTTGGTGTACAGTTTCATTTCATGGAATTCGTGTTAATCAATAAAATTAAAAACAAACACAACAAAAACAACAACCGGAGATGGATCCGTTGCTCGTCTAATCGATTAGATATTAGACTCCTCTAAAGGTGTCCAATAATCTGTTGTCCGCCATCACTAGTGAAATATTCTCGGGGTTACGGCTGATCTGACAGAACATTTCTGGTTCAAGCCTAACCCTAACAGATAGCTTAGAAGGTTTCGTGACTTATCATTATTATTATTATTATTATTATTATTACTATATTTTTACGAGTTTGACCATGGATTGACTGATATCAGTTAGAGAACCATTGAAAACCAACCAGGGAGTACTTGACAGCTAGTTGTTTCATCCTGGTGCTTGTGAATCATGGCCAATACTCACCCACCACCGGGGTTAGAACACACGATCTTCCGGTGACCAGGCCAACTAGCTGGCTCATATACCATTCAGCCAACGGGACCCAACTCATCGCCAGGAATGTCGTCTAACGATTATTCTTTCATATTTAACACACAGTGGACTGCTGACTGTCTACAATAACTATCAATACAGTTGTAGAATACCATAAGAAGGAAAACTATTTCTCGGCACAAATGTCTTTCTTTTTCATAATAATTCCCAACTCAAATTGGGTTTTAGATTTTCCCGTTGAGTGATTGAACTGAAGTGCTTGGTCACAGATTGACATGTCTTTCGGCTTCTTGTGCAGATGCTTCGACGATGTCTGGACATTTAATTAGAAGTTAACTGGTGGATGGTGACTAGCAGAGGAATCTAGGATAATGCGCATTTCGTCCTATTTGGGACTCGACATCTGAATGTACCTTCAGTCCAATCAATCCACGAGAAAGTCTAAAAGTGAATTAAATAATTAATATGACCCATTGCACAAGAGGTGGCTATCGTGGCCCAAGTAGTCTAGTGGATAATGCTTTGATGCTTTTAACTATGGGAATTGGGTTCGAGCCTGGGTGGTGGGAACATCATCATTCAGTGGTGGGTTGCAGGTACAATCAGCTGGCGGACGAGTCCCAAATAGGACGAAATACGCGTTACCCTGGTAAATTCCACTGTTAGTCACCATCCACCAATTAAATTCTCAACTCTAATTTATATTAGTTTCTTTGTTAGAGAAATCGACTTTTCAACACTGATTACAAACAGATTCTTTTGAAACAAAATTACTGTTGACTACAACTCAGCTGTTACTTGTAACAGAACACAGTGCGGCTCAATCAGAATATCCCCCAAAAAATTACACTTTCAGTCAGACACTAAAAGTGACAACATAAGTGAATAATCTTCAATACAGACTTCTTCGTCTTCTTCACTGACTGACGTTATATCCCACGTTGACAACCAGATATTCAAGGTGTTCAGTGGGTGTAGTAGTTTGTCATAACATTGGTTAATTAAAACAAAAGAGGATATTGAATCCATAAAGGATTGCAAAAGTCGAACAGGCTTTCGTTACTCTGAAATCAATGCAGAAATCTACACAGCACTCGGCGTAAGGAACAAGATTTGGATTTTAAACATGAATGTTAAGTGATGGTGAGTGCTCCAATGTGGTTCACAGACTTGACACTGGTGTTACCAAAATCTTTTCCAACAGGTGCATCCTTCGCCAGTGTGATAAGTAGCCAGACACGAGCCAGTCAAGAACCTACTATTGAATAGAAATGCAGGAGGAAGAAGATATGGAATGAACATACACTCTGAAGAAACAGTTAAGTGACAAATCGAGGGGAAATGATAAGTTCGGTGTGTGTCTAAGCGTGGGCTTCGTGAAGCTAGACAGCTAAAGAGGACTGAAGCAAACAGGATAATATGGAGATGTGCTGTTCAACCCTTATGTTCCACTCGGAATTCAATGAAGTAGTGGTAAATAAATCAAACAAATGGGCACCAATTGTATAGATGAATAATGTTCGCTAAACCAACTATTATTTATACTTCAATCCAAATTAACCAATCAGCATACGATGCGATTGTTCAAACTCGATTCTCATTGGCCAATTGAGAACCAATGAGAAGTCAATCTGTCTCCATCACTCCCTCTAACCCACCAATTCTACTTGTTGATTTGTTGTTTACAAAATCATCATATTTTACAACTTCTATCCACCTCACTCCCTCCCTCCCTCTCTCACTCTACCATCCTAACATTCTCATCTCCATCAACATCACCACTGTCATTAGTCATTGCAAAACTGACCACCACTACCATAACGAAGCGACAGTTAAGAAGAATCAATAGTTTAATGTCTTCTAATCTCAAAATTAACATTCACATTGACAACAAATTGTTTGATTAATTCTCAAATATACACAAACACATCAGAAGGACTTGTACAGACACCAAGTCACCACTGAACTTCATCTCTGTTACTTTCACAGCATTCACATCGATTTTAGTCTATACAACACTCCACTGTGATTATGTCATACAATACACTGTCGACAAACGCCTTTCCTATTTCATCATTCATGGAGTTCTATTCCAACAATAATAATAGTAGTAATAATAATGTTCCTAATAATCTCACATCGACAAACTATTATGCATCAAATCAGACTGTACATATGATGAACTCGTCGCCATCCACATCTTCTGCTTTCATCAAATCACCGCTGGATACTCTGAGTTACACGCCACCACACTCACTCTACACAAGTCGTCAATTTCACTCAAAACATTCACCCAGTCATCAAAACGGTGGCGACAACAGTGACGGACGTTTCAGTGGTCACCATAGTCAACTTAATGAGAATGCACATTACTCTGATTCACTGTTATTTCTTCAATATCATAATTATATTCATCGACAAAATGGAGAGAGGAGTAATGTGACGCTGGATGAAAGCAGTTCTCCACAGATGAAATCAACTCCACTTCACAGAGGCAGTCAACATTCTCGTCACAATCATAATCACCACCATCATCCTCCACATCATCGTCATCCTCCTCCACCTAATCAACGATCATCTCATTTGGGAGATATTCAGTTGTGTGGTGGAGTTCTACACGGAGAAGTGAGTGGAGAAGAAGATCCGAAACCGAATTTCAGTTATATTGGTGAGTATGATGGACAGTTTTTGTACTTCTTTGTCTCTCGTATTTTTGCGTTTGATATTCTGAGTGTGTGAGTAGGCCGTTTGATCAATAGACTGTAGAATTCCATAATACCACCGTTTACTGATTCATGTTGTTGTAATCTCCAACGTGTACAAGAGTCGGAGTATTTCATGGACTTTGAACTTTACTGTCGACTGACTGAACGGCATTCTGGATTCCATTGCTAGTCACCATCCAGGAATTTACTTCAGCAGTGCAGTAATTTAGAGAATGAAGTGGGCGAATAGATGGGTAGTTTAAGGAAGCATTTAAAAATATGTAGTGTCAGGGGAACACATATTCAGTCATGGGATGGTATTTAAGGTCAAATTGGTCAATTCCGTATTCAGTGTTTGCCTCAAAACAATGAGTTTAATTCCATATTAGCTTGTTTATTAAATGAATCACACAGTGAGGGAAATGGATTATTTACTGGATGACGAGGTTTCGAACAAAATTTATTGTTCATAATCATACCAATCAATTGTGATCACACGACTTCGAAATTTGAGTTTTATGGTTTTCTTTGTTCTCTCCTACTTGTCTTCGTAAGGGTAGTAGAAATTTCCAGACTCCCGGATGGACAGGTGTTGAATCATTCCTATTACACGTGTTAATTTGCAGTTGATTCGATGAACAAGGCTTCTGTTATCAATCTCTCCCGCCATACACCCTGTGACATTAGATTTTAAAACTGTCATTCTATCCCATCCTATTGTATGGTTGTGTGTAATTGCATGTTGTGCTATCAACAGCTGAACTATTCTCTAGATTTCTTATCTTATTCGGGTCGACCAATCTGGATTTTGCTGGGTTTTTATCTTCGGCTAGTCTGACTGCCCCTGTTCTACTAGTTTGACCAATGTATTTGACCGGATAATCATAGCCGGCAGGGTATTAGATACACTAAATTGTTTTGTTTTAAAGGCTCCACTGGCAGGATCCTTTAACTGACAAAGCTTGTTTCTAATTGAGTTTGTGGGTGTGGTTTGAATGCGAGCCACTTTTATTTCTGCCTGCCTTGTTAAGAATTCTCCGTTAAGTGGTTTCCGAGGTTCCTTCCTTGTATGGAATTACTACGGATGATTTAGATTCCTTATTGTCGGTGTTGTCTTGCGCATATTTGTAGTAGGAATGATTCAACACCTGTCCACTCAGATATCTGGAAATTTCTACAACCCCAACGGTGACAAATAGGAGAGAACAAAGAAAACTATAAAACTCAAATTTTGAAGTTGTGTGATCAAAATTGATTGGTATGATTATGAACAATAAATTTTGTTCGAAACCTCGTCATCCAGTAAATAATCCATTTCCCTCACTGTGTGATGCATCTAATAAACAAACTAATATGGAATTACTTACTACCACAGTGCCCAAGTTTTACACATATATTAATAAGAGTTTAACTCCGTTTCCGGAAATCTTCAACGAGATAGATGAAAACTCATAAACCACATGATTAACATCCTGAACAGTCTCTAATAAATATAATTTCACCTTGTGAAAAATACATCCACAAAGAGGATAGGTGGAAAGTCGTGTGGATTTCATATTTTATCAAGTCTAATGTGCAATGTGTATTCAACATCATTTAACACTTCAGAAAAGTACATTTCATTTATCTCCTGATGATGAATTCCCTACGTAGGTGAAACCAGTTACTCAGGAGTTCATGACATTCAACAACACCACTGCCTGTAGTTACTGTTGTTGTCATTCTCTCAGATGACAGGTGATCTGTCTGTTTAAGATAACAGTGCAGGACTTGTGGATAAATACTGATCATTTAGAATCTTACAAAACCTCACTAAGTACATTTACAACGGAACCAAGTTACCATGACACACAATCCCTATATATATATATATGGTTTAAATATAACAGGTATTTATGGGATATTGAATGCTAGGGTTTTAGGTAAACGAAGTTGCTTATATTGATTGGTGTAGGATATGATGCAATCACCTTAAATAATTTCAGCCGTTAACGTCATAAGTCTGTTACCGGTGGTTGACGAAGGTACCCCTTCTTCTTCAAAGAATAGCGAAGATTTTCTTCATGTCAAAGGTCATGTGGGTTGATTCACAGTCTAAACTTCTACCTAAATAGTCAACCCACAAACAAAGTTGTGTTAACTACTTCACACTGTGTTACCTTTAATCCCTTTCAGCTGTGTACTCATGAACACTGAGATTATTCGATAATCTTTAAGTAATGGTTTGTTGTAGGGATTTTTTGTTTGTTTGATTGGTTGCAGGATTTCATCATAATGAGCTGACATCAGTTAGAGAACCATTGGAAAGCCACCACTGGACTACTGGATAAGTTGTTTCTCCCGTCCTAGTGTGGAACTCTTCCACAGCAGTACTCAACCATCGCCACGCTTCGAACCTATGACCTTCTGGTTACAAAGCGAGTTAACTCGTAGACCATTAAGCCACTGGGATCTGATTCAATGGCCAGTTAGCCCATGAATTCTAACTTCTGCGAATTCACGCATGACATAGCATGACCAATTCGCAATGTCTTCCTCGATGATAAGTTACTGCCTCACCTTCATTCAACCTGTTGTACCCTACTGGTCACGGCTTCTCACTTGAACCCCAGGTTAACTACCTGAATAGGGCCAGTCGCTAGCTAGTAAGCATCAGATTAATTTTCAAATGTCGATCGATAATATTTATGATCTTACTTCATTCAATAATTGATCAGTTAAATGACTGATCGATAACTTACGTCATTACTATCTAACATGAGGTTTGGTAATCCCAAGTGGCAAAACACTAGGATGATGAGACTGACGTAAATAAATGTGAAACAGTCATCAAATTCCATCTTCTTCCATTTCAAGAGCTGGCGCGTTAGGATTAGATTTGTTTCTACGAGTTTGAACAGGGATTAGTGGTCATGCTAAATGCACCATGAACTGGTAGAAGTTGGAATTCATGAGCCAACCATTCAGTCTGTCTGTCTGGATTCAACATAGAACTTGGCACCCAAGTGCACCAGTTCGAGTTGCCACCCTCCAAATAGCACACAGAGGTAGACAAGAAGATGAGTGAAGAGAATCAATACAGTCTGACAAGTATAAGAGTGAAACAGAATGGGTAATGCAGTAGAAAGGAATATGAAAGATTACAGAGACTGAATACATCTGAGCTGGCCATTGACAACGATTTTGAGCCATGTCACCTATTGTCTCCAGTCATTGATTCCCAGACTCAGTCCCGAGGGCCCCAATCTGGAAGTCTGCATCTCCCTACCTGACTGACTCAGTTTAAATATCAAGGATTTCATGGATTGATGAGGCCATGTTTTTTGTTTGGCCACCACTTACCCTTTTCCAACCTGCACCTATATCAGCTAGTAATGTCCGTCGGGGGAGGCGATGGTTAGGCATGCGCACCACCTGACCTAGCCATCTCAATCTATGTAACTTTATAGCCTCGTCGATTGATTATCCCTCTTTACCCAACACTCTGCGCCTAACGTCAGCATTACTTACCTTATTAAACCAACTAACGTGAGACAGAGATCGCAGACATCTATGATCGAAAGCAGTCAACCTTTTCATGTCTTCAACCATTCAGTTGGGTCCCAGTGGCTGAATGGTATATTATAGCCAGCTTGCCTTGTAACTGGAATGTCCTGGATTCAAAGGCCGTATGGTGGGTGGTGAATAAGCAGTACATGTAAGCTGCGCTAAAACTCCTTTTCCTAATCATTTCTCAGACGTTGTGATAAAATTTCACTATTAACATCTCTTGTGACCAAACAAAAACAAGTCTTCCATAGATTGAAATTCACAGGGAACAGTAACAGTGATTCCTTAAGATGTTATCCAACTTAATAATAATACTCGGTGAAAATGTATTCTCTAAAAGACTGTCTTTTCACCTCATTATATTCTATCAGAAGTTGTCTGAAGTGTATTTCATGTAGGCTTTCGATGACAGTCACCTTTCCATATCGTATAGATTTGATTTGATTTTTGATTTACAGCTTGATTCCACACTGTATTTTTGGTACAAGTATGGAATTTTCAGCATGGATATCGGTAGCCCAAATTTTGCAGGCCGACCATAGATATCAGGTGTGCGTCGGCGTGGGCTCGAACCCCGGACCATGTGCATGGTCGGCGAGAGTCCTAACCACTGTACCACCGACTGAATTAAAAGTCAATCTGAACGAAGAATATTCTTCTCAAAACATCCTTCTCCTCTTTAAGTTCGCACAATTATAAAATATAATACTTGTTGTCGTTACAATGATGATTGCCAGTTATGCGGTGGATACATTTTTTCTTAACGTAGAATAACAGATTAGTTCTAGTGTGTCAAAATAAATAGTCGTGTGAAGTGTGATAAACGTCGTGCTAGACTGAAATCGATTACAAAATATTTCGGTGAAATGGGAGGCAATGGTGGTGAGTATGGGGTAGGAAAACTGACAAGTCAGATGAAGGTTACAAAAAGTGGCTAGTACAAAGTGGTCTGTGTTAAACACGAGATAGTAAGACTTCAATGAGAGGTGGTTCATAATGAAATAACGAATGTGTGAAATGAAACAGATGGAGGCATCGTATATTGAGAAAAGAGATAATATCATCACTAATAATAAGTCCTGATAGTATAAATGAAAAATTCGATAGTATTGAGGGAATGTTTGCATGAAGGGCATAAATTATGACGAATAATAATAATGATGGTAATAATAAACAAAGGAGAAAAAAACCAAGAGGGTTAAGGGGAAGGAACAATCTTGGTGAGAAGAAGAATCATCAATCCAAGTTTGGCCACAGTAGGAACGGCGTCTGGACGTGTTCGTTTTTGGGATACAAAGTTCTGGTTTAGTCGATCTTATTGCAACAGCTTCAGCTATGTGTAGGAGACATAAACGAACTGTACGTGATAACGACTTTGGAATTCGGTAAAAAAAAAGCCCTGAAAGTCGTGTTGACATCGATGCGATGTCCAGTATCGACCAAGTGTGACATGATCGAACTTTTAATGCACTTGATTCCTCCCTTGCTGAATCAAGCTGATAAATGTTCTCGAACCCGTAGACGAACCTGCCTAATCGTGCGCCCTATATAACTTGAACCACAGGAACAGTTGAAATGGTATATGCATGAAGAAGAGTTCAGGTTAGGTAAGACATCTTTGAGTTGTTGGATGAAGACTGGATGGCTACTGAAGGATAGACACAGACGTGCAGAGTAGAAAGTTTTCTTGATCGCCCTGTTTAATCGATTTCAGCCTAGCGCGATGTTTGTCACACAAATATGACTGTTTATTTTGACGCCCCATAACTACTAATCTGTTATTCTACGTTAAGAAAAAATGTATCCACCGCATAACTGCCTGTCATTATTGTAACGACAACAGATATATTCTATTTTATAACTGTAAGAACTTAAAGAGGAGAAGGATGTTTTGAAAAGAATATTCTTCGTTCAGATTGACTTTTAATTCATCTTATATGAGAATATTTCACACTATCAAATCTTATAACCCGCTTGGATATGAGTTTAGCAGTGCAATGCCTTCATTGTATACCAAAATTCCACCATTCCTAAACATGAAATCACTTCAGTTAATAAGCCATCTGATGGTATTCACTAATTCACTCCATTCTTTCTTCTCTCCAATTAATAATTTTTTTGTATTACTATAATTATTACTGATGCATATGATGACGAAATCAATCATTATTGCTTGTAATTATTTATTATTATTACACTTTTCAAATCCTTTTTGAGTTGTTCTCTTTTTTGTCAAAGAAAATTAGGTGTGGTGTATGTGTGTGAGTGTGTGTGTGTGCGTAGGTGATGGTGATGGTGTTGGAAGAACAACGAAGAAGGAGGAGAGGGGGGTGGGGTGAGGAAAGTATCCCTACCTCATAATTAAAATTATAGCAGAAAACAGCTTTTATTTTATTTTATTTAGGAAACAAAACCACCCACGCACCATCCCTCCCTCATATGAATATTTATTGCTGTATTCACATTGTGTAATATTTTGTTTTATACACCCACGCACGCATGCACGCACACACACACACACATAAAAGAGGTACGGATTGAGATTACACAAGAGAGTATAGGTCAAGTGGTACTCATAATAATAATAGTCATAATAATAATTATTATTATAATTGTTGATTTGATTTACTCAGACTTGTATGGATTATGTAAAATATTCGAAAGAAGTTAGTCAACACTTCACATTGGAATTCTCATATCCAGTTGAATTACAATTCAGCGATTGATGGTGTATATGCGTGCATGTGACTGTATGTGTGGGTGTCATAATAATGGAGGCCTTCCATGTAGAAGGATATCCTCAATGGTTGTATCAATAATAATAATAATGACCGTTAATTATAATTCGGATCATATACATGCAGCAATTTTGAGTCAAGATTTGTATTTGTGGTCTATCTGTTTGAGAGCTGGTATATTTGACCGGTGCTTGTGTGTGTGTGTGTGTGATCGAGTGTGAGAAGTAAGACACTTAAGATGGATCGATATCTCTGTGTGTGTGTGAGAGAGTATGTATCCTAGTGCTTGGGAATCACTGGCAGTACGCACCCACCATAGTGGGGCTCGAACCGAGGACCTTCCGGTTACAAGGCCAACTAGCTGGCTCGTATTACCTACCATTCAGCCACTAGGACCAGACCCGACTCAATGGCCAACCCATGAATTATAACTTCTGCTAATTCGTGATCTTATTTAGCGCGAATGGCACCAACCAATGTCATCGGTGGGAAATCCATCCTCACACACACTTGACTGGTTGTATCTCACTGGTTCACGACTCCAGGAAACTCCGTCCTGTAGCCAGTCACTCACTAGCGAGCATCAGATTAATTTTCATAAGTTAATTTATTGTTATTGAGAGTTAGTTTGTCGTGGGGATTTGACTGGTTTCAATTTTGATCACGGATTGATATATCAGCTAAAGTGTGGTGACAGCTGGCTGCTAGTCATATTGGTAGACAGTAATTTACGTCAATGTTTACGTCCCCAATATTGGTTATGCGATAAGACCAAGAACAAAGACTGATTCAACAACCAATCACAGCAGACTTTGAGTAGGCAAATACAATTTGCAGACAGATATTTTGAACTTCAAGAAACAGCAGCCAAAAATAGATGAAAGATTAGCGTTCAGCGAATAATCACCAATCAGAAGACTGTGTTTGTTTGCTTACAATAATCTATAATAATGTGCATGAAAATCTATAAATATGTGTTGATTTCCTAAATAAACGATCTGTTTGGCTGGCCCTTGTCTTCTGTTGTTACAAAAGAGTAATAATCGAAAATCTGAATTGAAGTAGAATCTCTTGAAAATTCACCTGATACACGTTGGCGACTGGTTACAGTTCTAGTTAACATTGGGGTCCCCTCCGGTAGTGACTTAGAACAAATGCACACCAGTGACAGTGGTGCCGGAATCGAAACCTGCTGGTGACGTACTGCCAATCAATTCCGAAATAGGACGAAACAACTGTCCAGTACCGCAGTACTGATTTTCAGGGGTTCTCCAACAGTTGATATTACTATGATCACTATCATCGATAGACTCCATACTGAACACAGTTGGAGATGGACAATCCTTACACTGACATTTCCCACTGATATGTTCCATTTCTGGTGATTACAAGAAATATTATGACGTGGAAGCGTTCTTAAATTACTACGCTACCTAAATCAATAAGTTACAATTCGTGCTTGAACACTATTTCAAGTAAATTTCTGCCTTCAGCTAAGAATTCTTTCAAGGAAAGGGAGGAATAATATTGTGAAGTAGTACTACAACAATCCTCGGGGGTGGCGACACTATTGTCTCAGGTGATATTATTAATATTATCGATTATTATACTACTGGAAGATCCCCCACAATGAGTAAATACCTTGCAAAGAAACTCGCTGAAAATTCGGCATTATCTAATTCAATCGAAGTGTTCAGCCTATGTCTACATGTTGGCTCTTTCTGTGGATGTCTTGATGAGGATTTAACTTACAGTAATTTTGGTGCATGGTGACTAGCGGTGGCCACATCTAGGATACACATTTCGTCCTATTCGAGACTCGTCAACCAGTTGTAAGTGTATTCTCCAGTGAGTGATGGTGTCTCCCTTGAGGCTCCATGCAAGCAGCCGGCATGTCAGTAGAGGCCACACATCTCACTCCATTCAGTCCAAATTGAATTATATAATAATTGGAACCTATACACAAGAGGTGGTTTACAGCATAACTCTTTGGTATATGAAACGATTGGTACTGGATTCCAACCTCAGTGAGAACATCATCACTGACTGGGAAACGCGAGTACATCAAACTAACGAGCATCAAAGAGGACGAAATGCACCTTATCCTAGATTCCACTGCTAGTCACCAACCACCGAATTAATTCTGGAATATGCATGAAAGCATTTTTCATAATAAATCTATTTATCACTATTATATTAGAAGAAATATGAGGAATAGTAGAGTATCGTTCGACTTATACTTCGTGACTTGAGACATTTCGGTGTGAAGTTAAATTCCTTAATCTCTAAAATCACAGCCACCTAGATAGTGAATTGTAACGACAACAATCTTAAGTTATTAACCATTAATCATCAAATTGAACACATATAGATTCAGATAGAGTTCGAGTGAGAAGTGGTGACCAGTAAGCTTTACACAGTTGAGTGTGAAGGCGAATACTCACCAATGACATTGACTGACTGAGGGTTGAGGTATATTATCGCCAATTGGTGGAGGTTCATATTCGCACGTCATTGGATTCGTTCCCTGTGACTGATTGGAAAACGAGCTTGCCTAGAAATCTGGAAGCATTAGGTTCAGTCGCTGGTGGAAGCTTGGGTACCTACTCCTGAAGAGTCCAGTACTCCCTTGTTTTCAGTAATTGTCTAACAGATGTCATTTCATGATCAAACTTGACTTTCTCAATGTTAACCAATGGTGTATATCAACTCACCGGTGCATTTTGAGTGGATCAGAAGTGAACAGTTCAACAAGTGGAGTGAGTAATCATTTACTCTCACGTCATCGTATTCTTACTTCACTCAAATCTGAATGAATATAGAGAAATTCTACGGTAAGTTGAGGTATTTGTGAATATCCTTTTGTTATAAATATTTGGTTCACTTTATCAATTCATATTGAGAAGTAAATGAACTACTGAGCTCAACGATTTTCCTCCTTTTTCTTTCTGCCCTTTTCAACCTACCTTATACCATCTTGAACACATCTTTCCCCAAAATATTCGCTTCGCTTCAATCTAATTCGAAACAGGATTAATAGCCAAAGCAATATTGAGTACTCAGGAAAGACGTATGATCCTCTCAGAGATCTATCAATGGATCCAACTACGTTATCCATATTTTCGTACACGTGGTCCTGGTTGGCGTAATTCAATTCGACATAATCTATCATTGAATGATTGTTTCATTAAAGTTGGTAAGTTAATTATTTCCACCATCACCCACCTCCCGCCTAATTGAGTACCCCATTTTACTATTCCTCAAAGACTGTTAGATCAGATATTTTTTAGCAGTCAGACTGAATTGTGTAAGTAGTGATGACTCCCTGGTCATTTTTAAGTCACTTGAGTATGACTAGGGGTTGAAAGTTGACAGTTAGACATTAGAGGTCATTTATCCACTTGCTCAAATGCGTAATTACAACTACACTAAAGAATCCCCAATTTTTTCATTCAAATTTCACTTATTACTATTATTAGTAGTATGGTCCTATTGTACATTCGTATGCAGTAATATTTTGCAGGATAAAACATTTTTCAAGTAAATCGGTAATTGGTTGTATGTCATCAGATGTCTTCTGGTCTTCAGTGAAGAAAACATTGCCATCTTGCAGATTACTTCTGACAGTGTCATTTCCTTTGAAAAATGTATAAGGGTCATTTGAAAATAGTAGTGCTTAGATGGTTGGAGGCGATCGACCACAGGAAGCCTTGCCTGACCAGCGTTTCGGGCTAGTTGGGACTCACCGGTCAGTCAGTAAGGCGTATCTGCAACTGCCTTGAAGGAAATCATGGTGACGCAGGTTTGAATCTCTCTCCTTGAAGGGACATGAATTCTTTCAAGGTAGTTGCAGATAGGCCTCACTAACTGACTGATCAGTGGCAACAACTAGCACGAAACCCAGGTGAAGTAAGGCTTCCCGAGGCCGACTACCTCCAACCATCTAATACTAACAATTCACAGTGCATCATAATGGCGAGCCACCTAGTAGCATGGTGGCCACATTGCAAGCTTGACTGATAGAATTCAGTCTGCACCAAAGATAGGACTAGACACATTACACCAGTCAGTTACTGACTAATGTGCAATCAAATTAGTAGTACCTACTAGCCAGCCAGCCAGTCAGACTGAAGAGATCTGAACAACGGATGGCCATCTATTTCATCTGACACCCACGCCACCGGGATTTTGGCAGGTTACCTAGCTAAGTACTACACTGGTTGATGTGAGTGGTGTCCAAGCACTACTCATCTCCATGAATCAGTAGTATATAGTCTGCATTCTTGATTACAGTTTATGGTGATATCAAGCAGATCACATATACAATGTGTGATCTGAATAATTTCGGCTTCCAAAGGGCACTGTGGTTTCACTTCATCCGAAACTGAATAAATGGAGGATTGCGAATTAGATCTGAATATGGTAAGGCATACGATTCTACGTTCCATAATCATACTGAGACTAAAACAGTCTCAAATTAAGCAAACTGGAGAAAACCAGGTGGGATTAAACCGTGTATGAGGGTGTATTAAATTACATATCTTCATTTTCCTACAGGTTCCTGAATACAAACACACCTGACGGTGGCCAACACTTACCGTATTTCCTGTCCTTAAGGTATCATTTAACTTCCTGAAAGGGATTGTTGAGGAAGTATGCTGAACTACTCAAGGCATTTTTGTTGAACTGATTCAGCTGTAGAAGAGCTGACATACACACTCCACGGCATCATTTCACTACAATCTCCATTAAGGATCGAGATTATTCACATCACACACTAGATATGCGATCTCCTTGATAACAAAACTACCAGTCAGGAAAGTGACGATAAAAGCCTGACGCCTTATATACTACTAACTGATCGATTGATTGATCGGTTGATATGAGTAGTACTTGAATACCACTCATATCACAAACAGTAAACTCCATTCAAAACTAAATTCATCATTCCACTACCTCTGGAGAAGGAAACAACCAATGTTAGTGAACGGAAGTTAAATGGAACAAGCGACTGGCACCAATGACACTTCCATTAAGCCACAGAGTGGCGTAAGCGGATACCTCTATAGTCAATGAGAATTCATCCAACACCATGAGAACAGAAATGACCGAAAGAGAGACGTTTTCTATCCAACACTGTATGACACATTCTGACATTCAGATTGAGTTGTGTAGGGCAATTTTATGACACACCATCTGACATATCAGTGCACCAACGTCAGATACAGACATACTAGTAGAAAGAGCACCATTCATTGAGCTGCTCAACTTGTCAGTTGATGGTTTGCGAATGATAACGCGATGTGTTGTGGAGAACAAATAAGTCACACACACATGCAGAAGTGCAGTGGAGATATGATAGATTTCAAACCAGGTTGGATGGATCTCTCGATCTCACGGTGTGAAATTAAAGTGTCTAGGCATTACTTTAAAAGAACTCACACTATTCTCATGGAATTATTATTGTCGTGTCTGTGTTTTATTTTGTCTTTCGATAATGACAGGTAGAGCTGACAATGGAAAAGGACACTACTGGGGAATACATCCAGCCAACTTGAAAGATTTTCTCAGTGGTGATTTCAGAAGACGAAGAGCTCAGAGGAAGGTACGTCGAGCATTGGGATTGACACGTCCTGGTGATCGAGACGATGTGGATGACACTGATGATGATGACGAGGAGGGGCCGATGGAGACGACGGTGAGGAGAAGATAGGTGTAGAGATGGGAGTGAATGACAAAGCCAGTCGTTATTCTCTAATCACTTCTCAAATTCCATCAGCTCACTTCATCTCACGACGAACTGTCAAACATCCTTCAAATGTACCCAAATCTGTGAAGACAATCCCACCGTCACTAATGACAACAACACATCATCCATCTACACATTCACTACACAGAAGTAACACACAGACAACCGGGTCTGATTCATCACAAACCACACCATTCAACCCATATCACCTATACCAGACATCCAATATGATGTCTCCCACTCTCAATCAGTCATTCAATATCCCACTCACTCACAGTACTCATCTCCAACACCACAATACACCCGAATTCACCTGCAATACTCCATTCCAGCAGTCGGAATGAACACATCGAATGAATTGAAGGCAACACTGGAGACACTGAAAAACCTCAAGTATTTCTATCCTCCATCACAAATCAATATTCCACCGACCAGCACATTGAAGAATGTCAATGACACATTGACAGATTTATTCTATGCTAATTTAATGCACCTGTTACACAACAACAGTCAATCATCAGTTACTCCACATCCTGAGGATCACTTGACATCCTATGAACATACTAGGCGATCAGATCAATCGACTCATCTCAGTTGTGGCCACAATGATTGTGATGGGAATGATGAGAAGTCTCGGAGTGATTCATCCAATCAGACACTTTCACAGGAACACTCTCATCCACGTGTGATGAATGTCAGTTTCAATGTGGCCAATCTGATCGACCATCAAAATCATCATGATGCCACTTGTGACAATGATGACGGCAACGACAACGATGTTGATGGTGAGGACGAAAAAAGCACCTCAGAAGGGAAGATCACAGATGATAATCATAGAGAATATGACTCTCTGAATAGACAATCTGTCCCTTCCCAGAAGTACTCAACTACACCTAATCATCAGTTGTTAGATATGGAGGATGAATTGATGTTGTCAGTGTCGAATAATAATTCTTCAGCGTCAAGTAATACAGAGAGTCCATTAGATTATTCATTAATTAAATAAATAATTAACAAATTATTTGATTAATAAACCACCTCTTCTTTATCTCACTATATCTTATATTTTGTTATTCTTTATAAATATGTATATATCGTTTTCCTATTTCAAACTCTGTAAACTCTACTCATTGAACCATTAACGTTCAAGATTCAATTTTTTCCTGCCACAATTGAAAATTTCAAATTTTCCACTTTGTGATTCATTTAAACTTTATATAGGTGTTTATGTATACGTATATATTAGTGAAAAATGAATCTCTGTATAAATAGATTTCCCCTCCTATCACCTTATTCTTATTTTTATCGATTCTAGTTTCTTTTATGGTTAATTATTAGATAAATAGTGTAACACATTGAGATTATTGACAACAAAGAGGATTCTTGTTTCATATTGATTGTTCAGCTTTTTCTTTGTAGATTTCTTTATTTTCAGGGGACTTGAATCGTTTCAAATCTGATCAGAGATCGAAATAAGTCCAAGTAGACTAAGTGTAGATGAAACCTCATCCTGCTATGACACTTATTAACTGAGGTTATGCCTGACGAAGACGTGGCATCCGGCTATCCATCAAAGGATACGTGTACTGCATTGTAGTTCTCTCTATCCTCATTTCTAGCTGTAAGACATGGGCATTGTAAATAGAAGTTATGAAAAGGCTAGTTATCTTTGACCAGACATGTTTACATTCTTCCCTTCGTGTAAAGTAGCATAATATATTGAGAAATTTTTAGTTTTAGCTTAATGTTACGGATGGAAGGAAGGATGCAAAGTCAACCAATGAGGTTGTGAAGTAGCTAAATCAATTGAGATGTCTTGGACGCGTGTTCTGTATTCCAAGCCACCTCATTCCTATTTGATGAGCAATGTTAACTGACATCAGATTAGTTTGGAAAAGAGTTAGACGGGTGGCCAAATCAAAAGACAACTCCAGTCCACGTAGTCGCTGACTGTTTGCTTGAGTCAGTTATGTTGGGAGGTGTAGGTCGCTTGGTTGGGGTTGGTTATAGATTAAGAAGCAGTCAGTTGATACCTTCAAAGGTGAATAATTCTTGTCCGTTAGGTAGTACAGAGAGCCGATTAGGTTATAAGAGTGTCAAATGTGAAATGGTCATCTGACAGCTGATATGATTCGTACCATCGACTTTAGAATTCTCACTCCAGTTATCTCCCTACAACATGGGCTGTGAGATTCTCATTCACAATCGATAATATGAGTTGTTGTCTTTCATTTACACTCTGTCCAATACTGTCTACCTTTCGCAGACAGTGAGGAGTGATTTTCTTATTTGGGACGTTATTATTGTCTGAAAGAGGCGTGTATAGCCCAAACTGGATTCCACTGCTAGTCGCTATATCAACCATCGTGTTAACCTTTAGACATTGTCAAGGTGTCCATCCTGTGTACGAGTTGACATGTCGACAGATAAGCAACGCTTCAGTCCAACGTAGTCAGTCAACCAGCTCCTGGTATAACCTTTACTGGGGGTGATATAGGGATACTGACGAAGAGTCTCAAATTAGGACGAAACACCTATCCATTACTCTATGGATGTCAATGGTTCTTTCAGATTTCATCATCTCATTTCGTGTCATGATGAACTTTGTTAATCCATAGTCAAACTTAGTTCAGTGGTTTCATAATCAGAAATAATGCAGACAGAGAGAGATGATTCCAGCGGTGTCATTGTTGTCTCTAAGCTGTATAGTTTAACGGAGAAGCTTTCATTATCACTCTGGACAGCATCGTCAGAGCTCACTTCACCAGATAGCATATTATAGTATTCCTTATGTTCAATCAGTTTAACATATATGATTGAAAATCGATATATTTATAGTAAATCACTTTTATTTATACACTAGTGTACATTTTACTATCTTTCCGATAAACATAATTCACACTTACATTCAAATCGGTAAATACAGTGGGATGTGATGTCATTTTTCGCATGTTCAAAGAGCTTAGATGGATGGATATATTGGCTTCACATTGTCAATTATTATGACATCAGCTGCATAAAAAGTCTTTTTAACCATATCAGCGTTTAATCTTTGTCTAGTTGTCAATCTGTTATGATCTCCTATATATAGGGCTGCTTGATGTATACGTCTTTCTTAGTGGCAAGTTGGAGAATGGGTCTTGGTGTATCACTGACCACTTTATATCTCCTAATAAATTTGTCTGGATAATTGTTATCAACCACAGTGTCTTTGGTGCATATTCGTTGGATTCTACTGAAGAGGCACCTCGCTCACTAAGTCCCTTTTGTACCGAACAGGGTGGAAACTGTGATAATTAAGATACTCTCCTGTCCTGTCCATGTAGGATTTATATAAATAGATCGTTTTATTGATCACTCAAGCCTTTGACTAAGCAATATGTCTAGGAAAGATAAACAATTATCTTCCACTTCTACAGACAGATGTAAGTGATATTCTTGGCTATTCTGAACTTGATTCATTCGATTTAAAATTGAGGCGGCACAGCAAAACTTATCACCTATGATTACAATGTCGTCTACATGCCTTCTATAAAGTGGCACATTTTCGATTAAATCCTCAGATAAACTGTGAATGTACGAAATATAGATATCTGCTAAAAGGGGACCTAACGGACTTCCCATGGCAACACCACCAATCAGACGGAAACTATCGCCTTCAAATGTAAAACTAACATTGCTACAACATAGAAGTAATAAATGCCTTAAATAAGATATAGGGAACGGTATTATAAAGTTATATGTGCAAAATGTAATTTTACAAAATGTCAGCTGTTTTAAGTAAAGGCACATTAGTGAATAATGCAATTTATAGCTGGCTTTTTTTTCCTGTCAACGTTCTGTGAATCGTGGAAACTTGGTATGCTGACGGTTTTTGTACTACTGAATAACTTATAAGTAGTGTAGAAGATCATGCAAAATATTATGTAGCTCATATTGATTGCAGTATCCAGACAAAAAGGCACAAATCGATTATTATACAAAGAACTAGACTGCTTTGTACTCTTCGTTAGGGATTCTTCCTCACTCATAGAGTCTGTAAATTTCAGCTTATTGTATAAGAATGATTATCATTCATCCATTGGATGAGAATTTAAAAGGTTCATGAATTCTTATTTATTCTTATCCCCCCTAGGTTTCGAGTGGAACATAGGGCTTCAGCAACACATCTTCACTTTGTTCTGTTTTCTGCTGTCCTCTTCATCAGATGGGCCCATCATTGTCTATAATCTCTCATTCCCTCCAGCTCGCACGACCTCCTCGATATCACCCTTACCCCTACGATACACTCATCACTGCCCACTTAGATTCCACTCAAGCGCCTGGCGCGCCATGTCACTTGACAGTCTAATCAATGTATGCTTGTTGTCAATTCTTTCTCAATGGCCAGCCGTTCTACCTTCAGCAGGAGTCCAACTGAGGTAGCAGTTGATGAAAGTCTGCAACCTGTTGGAAATAATTTTCATGACATGCAGTGCAAGTTGCTGACTTGTATACAATGACCTACTTGACATTAGTGCTGAAAATCCGAATCCTATTGTCTAGGCTACTGATTTAGGACAGAAGATTTTCCAATTCTAACTTGGACATCTTCATCAGTACCGACTGTCTGTAGTTGAAAAAAATGCTTCCTGGATAGACAAGTGATGAATGAGGTAACCTCTGTTAAGCCTCTCCCGTTAATGGTGATTGGTGCTGGTTGTGTTTTGTTGCTCTTCGTTGGTTATCTTCATCTCCACTCCGCCCCTCCCCCGCCATCTTCTCCATGTTCACCTGAAGTCCTGTCTTCGCTACCTGCCTGCCTCTCTTCAGACACTTTGTTGATTTCCACCTGGAAGTCTTCGAGTTTAATGTGAGATTAAAAACATAAATCGCCCACACGTGAAATCCAGATCTTCTAAAGCCTTGTTATTATCGGTGGTCTATCGCATACCTTATCTTCGCATAAATTCCAGACACTTTCATTAACAACTCCCTTCTCTGCCTCGATAGTGAAGAACATATGGCTAGAATAAGTAGCATGGTAACAAATTAACCAGGAACCTATTAACCAACAATTATACGAAAGGATAATAATAATAATAATAATAATAATTGCTTTATTCCAAAAAAAACAGTACTCATGATACAGCAAGGAATTTTCAGCATTTCAGTACAATATTGCATCTAATTTACCCAAAAACGACAAAAAAATAATTAAAAATACACAATACATAATAGTAATAATACGATTGTTTGTAGCAGCTACGTAGCAAAATACTGTGTGCCATACGGAGAAAAATATGTATAAAGTACAAAATTGTAGTAATAATAGTAATACCAACTAATATAAAATAGCAGAGTAACGATATAAGTGTAAAACTTGGGCACTGTGGTAGAGTATAATTCCATTATAGATAAGATTTTATTTTGATAAATCGCACAGTGTTTACAGTTATATGAACTGATGACGTTTCGAGCACAAACTATTGCTCATAATCATATCAAGTTGAAGCAGAGTAACGATTTAAACGATAGAAAGTGTGACACCATAAAATACAGAAAGATGAACGATAAAAGGGTCGATTCACTGTGCTAATTACATAGTAACTTGTAAGTTTCACTTCTAACAGAGTCTTCGTCACATAAAGTACGCGCTAAATAGGGTATTGTAGAATTTCTATACTTAGTAGTACGAGCATATATCTTTTTATATTGACTTCTCGTCCTACCTGATGAGATACAAGGGGACAGGTGTGAATAAAGGGGGTGCAGAGGGTCTGACATTATAGCCTTTGCCTATTTCGTACAGGAATTTATATGCCTCTCGACTATAGTATTAGCGAACTCATGCAGTGGAAGACCACAGGCTCTACTCACAGCATTTAATACTCTTCGTAATATGATATAGTCTTTTTGAGAAGCCCAGGAAAGATTAATGGAGAGCAATAGAGTAGGTACAATAGGTAAAATACAGGAGTTTAAAAATTGCAAAACTAAAGGTTGGTTGATACCTGATTGTCTTAA